TGTGGTTGTCTGTGTTTCCTGTTAAACACAACTTAAGAAATTTTATCTCAGGTAATACAACTCTCATTCTGCATTGCCTCAGTTTTGTCAGACTGACTTTATTTGTATTAATTTTTCACATGAGCCTTACCTGAGAGCTACGGAGGTGTTGGTAAGCTCAGGAGCATTCAATAAAATAATAGTTTGGGGTTTTTTTAAATGGTAGTGGAGTTAACTAGAATACTGTTTGAAGTCAGTGTTACTTTATTAAACATACATAACCTTACAGCTGATGAGAATTTTCTGCTTGTAAACCAAAATATGAGTTGGTTTGTTTTGGGGGTTTTTTTGTGGGTTTTTTCCTCCCCTTAGGTCGGCAGAGATGGGAGTCCTTTGCAAAATGAGTGTGTTTCTTGAACTTCAGTCCTCTTAAAACTATCGCTTTGGGCTGTTGATAATTATAACTTGTGCTGAATTTTCATTGCTTTTGGTGTAATTATTCATATCTTTTTCCTTGTGGTATTGAAATAATTAATCTGTGCAGGTAGACATCATCAAAGGAGTATTAGCTCAGAATGATTAACTGTAAATCTTACTTTCCTCTGCTGTTTGGGGCCACTGTGAAAAATTATTCATTTTTAACTTTGTAAATACGCAATAATAGGAAAATTTATTTTCAAAATGTTTTATGGAAGTGTTGAATGTTTCTGTCTGCATCTAGACTTCTAATAGACATAAATCTTGTTGAAGGTAATTTTTAAGCATTACAGCTGTTGACTGTGGAAGAGTAAGATTTATTGTGTACATTTCCTCTCTAATTGTTTAATGGCGTACTTTGGAAATCTTACTTGTTTCTTGTCATTGTGGTTCTTTTTCCACTACATTGAATTCCCATAGAGATTATGAGCTCTAACTGTCACTAGCACACATATAATTTTTCTTTACAGTTCCTAACATTTTATCTCACATAAGGTAAGATACTCAGAGCTTACAGTACTATAGTACTATATAGAAAGTCACATGTTATAAGGTGAACTGAGTTCCTCCTTATTGTTCCACCAATAAAGTGAATGGTGACAGCAGTCTGTCAGACAGCCTTCACCAGTTGTGAGTAAAAGTGATATTGCTGGCTAATGGCAAATTATGACAATGTTGAGATCTCAGTGTAAAAATATTGCGTAGCTTTGAATGCTGACTGCCTCTCTCAAATGATTAGAAGTGGAGTTTGAGACATTTAATTAAGACCTCATCAGAATTTTTCCAAAGGCTGCAGTAATCTCTGATGTGAGGTCTTGGGCAGGCTGGAAAATTGAGTGAAGTGAGTTGAGGTTTTTCCTAACTTTCAGGAAGAGGGAGTGGCAGGGGATTATTTTTGGTGTCTTTTCTGGTATCATTTGTATTGCATAAAAGAAAATACAAATAAAGTAGAAAGCAGCCTCTTAGATTCATGAAGATCTGCATATCTGCAGCCAGTTATTTTGGATGTAATACTCTAAATCTAAGACTTTAACTTGGACTTTTGACTGTTACTGTAAGAGCGTGCAATTGCAATTCTGGTGCTTATTGCTGTTTTATTTTTACAACTGCATCCTTTGTTATCAATTAATGATGTGCTTTACAGCACTGGAGCCTTTTTATGTTACTCATCATTTCTCTGCTCCCTGTCAGGACCCCAATACAGCTACTCTGGATGAAACAGAGCAAATAACTATTGTTGAGCAGAGCTACTGGCTGAATTAAATGGAAACCGAGCATTTACGTGCTTCTGAAAAGCAACACAGATCTCGGCATCCTTCAGCTGTGAGCACTTGTGCAGGTCCAGCCCTTCCTCAGCCTCTTGGCAGCTGTGGAGGTCACCAGTGAGGGCAGATTTGGTGTCTGGGATGTTGTACTGGAGCTCTGCCCTCTCCCTTTGCAGGACATGGAGTTACAGTGACTGGCTAGAGGGAGTGGTACAAACACCTCCTTGAGTTTCTGCTCTGATGTGATAGAAGGACATGGACCTACTGGAGCAAGTCCAGGGGAGGTTATGAGGTTGATCAGAGGGCTGGAGCACCTCCCCTATGAGGACAGGCTGAGAGAGTTGGGGCTGTTCAACCTGAAGAAGAGAAGGCTCTAGGGAGACCCTATAGCAGCCTTCCAATACCTGAAGGGGGCCTACAAGAAAGCTGGGGAGTGACTTTTGACAAGGGCAGGGAGTGACAGAAGAAGGGGGGATGGCTTTAAACTGGAAGAGGGGAGATTGAGATGATATCTGAGGAAGAAATTTTTCACTGTGAGGGTGGTGAGACACTGGCCCAGGTTGCCCAGAGAAGCTGTGGCTGCTCCTCCCTGGAAGCATTCAAGGCCAGGTTGGATGAGGCTTTGAGCAACCTGGTCTAGTGGAAGGTGTCCCTGCTGATGGCAGGGGGGTTGGAACTGGATGATCTTTAAGGTCCCTTCCAACCCAGACCATTCTATGAATCTGGTTGGTTGGTTGGTTGGTTGTTTTTTTTTAAATAGATCTATAATCTGATTTCCAGTGGAACCTCTCCCGAGCACACACTGGTGTGCCAGCCAGTTGAGCAGGCAGCACTCCATTGCAGCGAGTGCTGGCAGCGTGTCGTCAGGCTAACAGAGAGGCAGAGTTAATGAGGGTGGTGTTTGTCAGCGTGTTCCTCGCCCCATTTTCCAGCCTGCCACACATATGGTGCCTTCAGAGCAGCTCCTGCTTCCTCTGCGAGCACTGGGGCTGCTTTCTGTCCTGACAGCAGAAGTGTGGCTGATTCCAACCCCTGACCAGCCAGCGCCATGCCTGGTGCTTTCCACTAGCAAGGCTGTATAACTTAACCAATAATTAATGGGTTAAACTGTTTTATTTAGTGTTGAACTGCGTGTCTGTGCCCAGGTGGGGGCTTGAGGAGTCTCTGTGAGGAGCAGTTGGGGCTGCCCGGGGCTGGGCACGGCGGGTTCCAGCTCGTTCCAGCTGCCCCTGCCCTGGGCACAGTCCAGCCCCTCAACCAGGCTGGTGGGGCCTCAGGGAAACAGATTTCAGGAAAGGGGAAAATGCTCTGCAATAGCCAGGAAAAATGGTGAGGAGGAGAGGAGCTGGCAGTGAAGCTGAGCCTTGGGAGAACGGGTGGGACGGGGGAAGATGCTGGTTTGTCTTTGCTTGTCACTTTCTCAATGTATTTTTAATTGGCAGTATGTTAAATTAATTTTCCCCAAGTCAAGTCTGTTCTGCCTGTGAGGGTAATGGGTCAGTGATCTCCCCATCTCAACCCTCGAGCATGTTTGTCTGATTTTCTTCCCCTGTGCTGTCGAGGAGGGGGATGAGAGAGCACCTGGGTGGGTGTCTGTCAGGCAGACAACAGCAGCCACCATTAGTGCAGGGAAAAAATTACAAACCCTCCTGTAAATTTTCCAAATTGGTTTTCAGGTTGCTTTCTTTTTTTGTCCCCTTACAAACACACAAGAAAGCCCCTTCTCCCTTACAGACGCACTTTGTCATTAAGCAGGAAGTTATCCTCCTTGGCTGATGATAGTGGACTCTGATTATACACTGTCAGGCAGGGCTCGTGTTTCTGAGGTGCTTGCTCTCCTGAATTCTCGAAAGGCTGCTACTGCACCAGAGGTAGGAGGCAGAGACTCTGTGAGGTAATTATCTCACAATTCATAGGCAGAAGGGAACAGTCAACTTCTTATGCCCACATATGATGCTTCTACTATCTATACCAAGAATAAGCAGGTCAAGTTTATAGCAAAATGTAAATATGTACAGTTTTTATGGCATAAGTGTAGATAGTGTAAATAAGTGTTGTAACTTAAGCCCCACCTGTTTCATTATTTAAAAGGCTTTGAATTGGTGTTTTTTATTTCAAAGATGCAGTATTCTCAGCCCTGAAAATATTTCTCAGAGAACTGTCAGCCATTATACTCCTAAAATAATTAGCAGCTTTATAAATAAAACAAAACCAGGAGCTATAGGAGGAAATGGGCAGTTAATGATTTACTTTATGGTGTGAACTACAAAATATGAAAGTGAAATAACATCCAGATTGGCAACAAATGTTTGAATTACTCTGTCCTTTGCCACCTTATCTTTTTACAGTATTTGAAACCTTTTTAGACCATATAGGTTTAAAGATGTGCAACAAATTAATGTAAAATTTGGAGGAAAGAAAGTGGGTCCCTGTGAATTCAAGGGGCAAAGATTTGTGTGTGATGAGAGTAGCAGCAGGAAGAATGGCTGCTAGGAGTAATGTCTGTGTTGAATCCAGAACTTTTTATTCATTTGTTTTTCTCTTTCGGGTTGATTACTCACAAAGTTTTCTGAATATTAAAATTTGGAAATGTTGACTCCCAAGAAGTCAGTTGGACTTCTGTCCTTGATCTCAATGGGTCTTGATTTCATGCTGTTTATCTACACTAGGATAATTATAAATGCATTCATTTTCAAAATACAATTCTATGTGTATTCAATTGCTGCCAACAAAATATTGGAAAAACAACATCATTCTTGTATTTGTTTAAAGCCATAAAGCTTTCTGGGTGTCTGTGTTTGCATGTTAATAATATTTATCTGGCACTATTCGTATTGATACGAAGACACTTTTAAATAAGTTCTGCTTACTTTTGCAGCTCATCTTTATTTTCCTTCCTGAGTCTGAAAAAGTAGCTTTTATTTTTTTATTCTATTTATCTTATGAATTCTTTCATTACTAAGACTTTTTTTATCTTCATCTTTTTTTTAAAACAAATGGGGTTCTGTCCTGATGCAGGCAGTGTGTGGAATAAAAATGGAAATGGATTTCACTCTCTATGTAACGCTTGGCATGAATTAAGGGTACCTTATGTCTAAATAGCTGCTCGTACATGAGGTTCCAGGGGTGAGCACAGGGAGGAGAGAATGTCAACCTTTTATTATAGACCAGAGTTATGGAGTGAAAAAGGGGAGGGGGGCAAAGTTTTGCAAACCATTTTTTAATTTTCTTGTGTACCTTAGGGTTTTAAGTGGTATCTGTCCATCTCTGTTCTTGCAGTTAACTCCAGTTGGAACAACCATTTTTACAGGATTTTCTGGAAACAACGGTGCTACTGACATTGATGATGGTCCAAATGGCCAGATAGAATATGTCATCCAGTACAATCCTAATGACAAGGTGAGCACATTAACCTTTTTTTTTCTTTTGGATATATATATACACACACACCTTGAAGCAGCAAATGAACAAGAGGTTCCTGTTATACTTCATAAATTCTTTCTTTCCTCTCTGCCTATGAGCCTTGCTTGCCATGTAAACACAACTGAATTTACCTTCCCTTTTGTTGCCATGCTGTTAGCAGCTGGGTTGTTTCAGTATCAATCATTAATGATCCCCTGTCTTCTCCAGTGTTGTTCACACCCTTCATCTTTTTTTTTTGGCATGCCTTTTCAGTCCATGATGGGTAATTGTATTTACTCCTACACATTTATACCTAACAGATTCACAGCTAAGAAGTATTCATAGGCATGGCTAAGTTACTCTCAAAAGAGACATACTGACTTTTCTCATGGAGCCATTTGTATTTAAATATCACTGTTTTTAAAAAAGAGGGTTACATATTATTAAAATAAAACACTAGTCATCCCTACCTATTACCTGTACAAATACATACTTGTAGAGACAAAAAGCTTAAAGTATTAAAATAAATTCTCTTTAGAGTCAGATATATGAATTTTTCTATTTTAATAAGGTTTTGCACGAGTGATTTATATGAAGTGTCTATATGCATTTTTGTAGCGAATTTGAAGGTCTTTTAGAAATCTTTTTTTCCAAACCAAGCTATTTTTTGCCATGGGTTAGGAGCATAGTTAGTGGATCAGCTGATGTGATAATTTGTTAAGCAGGCTAACCTGATTTTGTATTCATCCCAAAGATGACACAGATGTTAAAGTGTGTGCAGAGGAAATACACGATATAGACTTAGAACCTGTCATTGATATTCCCTGCTTTTACTTTAGGGGAATTCGAGCAGAAGTGGTTTTGTGAGAAGACAGCAATCTGATTTTCAGTTCAATTAGAAGTGTAGGCACACAAGTTTTGATTCAGTTATCACTGTTTAAGCTGTACACCTCATAAAAGCTTCAGTCCTGTTTCCATTTAAATTCAAGTATTAAAGTAGGTACTTTAAATTCAACAAGAATTTAAGCATCTACTAGATTACACTTAGTGTTTATACTTTTTAGGAGCTAGAATTTTGTAGAATAATGACAGTATCAAGGAATAATTCAGGGAGAACTAATGATATGAGAGCCTACTTTTTTACTTTTCACTGGGGTAATTGTTTTTTGCATAGCTACATGCTGAGGCATATTTGCTTACTGTATCTACATATTTTGAGGGCAGAGATGATTTCTTGAGAAACTTTATAGCACCTTAAGCCACAGTCTTGTCTGGGGAGTATTGTTTTGCAAAAAGGCAGTGTCTCTGCCAAAAGTGGAATTGTGATGTTAGGTTTTGGGAGAGACAGAATTTTCTGACTTTATATGTTGTGTATATTTGGAATTATTTAATATTTTAAATGTTTGCAGTTGTTGATTAGAGGTTAAATTGCAGAGACTTGAGCAGTCTCTCAAGTTATGACACTTCAGTGACACTATTTAAATGAATAAAATTACTGGCATGCAATGTGTAGGTTCATTGTGTTACATTCTCAGCTGTTCTTTGTACCCATGGTATGTGTGACTGAAGAGTTTCTCTCCTAAACTTTATAAACAAAGTTTTCTATGAAAATAGTATTAAAATATTATGCTATCATCTTATAACTGTTTGCATAACAGATGTGTTAGAAATAAATGCTGTTCTCCTAACACAAAATTAAAAAATAAATTCAAGGCAGGAGTGGACAATCAGTTTCAAATTTGCAAAAAACACCCCTAAGCTTTTTCTCTCTACTCTTTTCTCACCATTAACTTATAGTACTTAACAAAAATTTCTCAAATAATTTCTTCTGTTCCAATAAAGACTATGGGAAATGTTGACACTAAAAAAATACCTCTTCTGGAAAATACTTCTTCCAGATAACTTTAGAAAATTGTGTTTTTAAAAAAATTAAACATTTTAGCATACATTGAATATGTTGGTATACTGAAAACAATGATAAATAAAAAAAAAATCCAGACCTCTTAAATTATTATTTCTGTTAAAATATATCGTGCCACAGTGAAGTAGAAGAGCTGCTTTGCATTTAATTTACTACTAAGTCGTAGCATTATAGTGCTCAAAGGTATCCTGGGAAATGATTCCAAAAGCATCTCCCGCAACTACAGCAGCCCCAAGTCCTGCAGAGAGGTTTGTCTGACTACTAATGGAAGGACATTATAGCATGCCTAAGTGGTTTGGTCGGGTGTTTTGCCACAGGAAGGGTTCACATACATTTCCTAAAACTACTTTTCCTCTCTTACTCAGTGAAACTTACTTGTTCTTCTCGCAGTGACTGTGAGGGATTTTCCTGGTTGGAACAACTTATTTGCAGTAGTTAGTTGCTTTATTGTATCTTTGCCTTACTACGTTTGTATTCCAGATTAAATAAATCTGATTCTTTCATCTGTACATAACCTTTATGCACATAATATTGCTTTTAGCTGGTGATAGGTTTTGCGCGTGTGCTTGACAGAGGTAACTTGTCATTATTGTAAGCTGCTTCATCTCAGCTGTCAACTTGCCACGAAGTTTGTGCATAATATCTGCTATAAGTGGATTTTCTTCCTTAACCTGGGAAACAATTATACCACGTTCAAAAATGATGTGTACAGCTTAGTGTGAAATATCTCTACTTTTTCTACTACCAAGATCCACCTCTATTGTGTGATTAAGATGCCTGGGGTGTTGTTTGGCACCAATGATATAGTCTCCTGCCTTAGAAAAACTAGATTGATTGTAGCTCATAAGTTTAACTGGAGATTAATTTAGGCATTTGAAGAAAAAAAACCCTGTAAAAACAAGAGGTATTATTCTAGGAATACAATTTAACTTAATTATTTAGTTGTTTAGTTGGGAAGATATAGAATCATAGAATCATAGAATGGT